TACGGTCCATTGTAATTAAATACAGTGACTATTTGCTGTCCATTTACTTTTTTATACCCTGTTTTATTCCAAAAAATAATTTAAGGTGACTTAGAGATTAATTTGTTAAGAAAAATAGGTGCTTTAGTGTTTCTTATTTTGTCCACAGAGTGTCACTGTTGGATTATTTGAAAATCCCAAGCCATCCATTTGGTTCTTTGTTGATGGTTAGAAATACTTGCTTTCAAAGCAGTTCTAGTGCCAGATTACTAGAAGACTAGTCTTTCTACCCCAAAGTACATAAGGGTTAAGCTTGATAGAAAATGGTGTCTTGAGTGTAGTTGGGTTAATAAGAAAACAGTTCAGCAAGTACAGTTGACCCTTGAACATGTGGGGATCAGGAGTGCTGACACCCACACAATCAAGAAGCCACATGTAACTTTTGACTCCCCAAAAACTTAGCTGCTAATAGCCTACCGTTAACCAGAACTCTAACCGGTAAACAGTCAGTTAACAGAGATGTTGTGTGTTAGATGTAGTAGGTAATATAGACTGTATTCTTGCGGTAAAGCAAGCTAGAGAAAAGGATGCTATTAAGAAAATCATAAAGGGGATCCTGGGTGGCTCAGTCATTTAAGCATCTGACTCTTCATCTCAGCTCAAGTCTTGATGTCAGGGTTCTGAGTCCAAGCCCCATGCTGGGCTCCACGCTGAGCATTAAGCCTACTTAAATAAAATCATAAGGAAGAAAAAATACATGTATAGTATTGGACTGTATTTCTTGAAAAAAAATCTGTGTATAAGTGGACTCACACAATTTATACCCATGTTGTTCAAGGGTCAGCTGTATATCTTTTTGTGTTGTTGTAGTATTTGTGGAGGGCAGAGGTCCTTTACATTTTTGTGCTTGTTGAAAGTGGAATTAAAGTCTTTAGTGTTTCTCTGAGTTCTTTCCTATTTCATTTTGATTTATTAATAAATCTTCCCTGGACAAGAACATGAATGCCTGACTGTGAAGAAAATGAAAGTGCCATTAATGAATGCACATCAGACTGGATATTTACATAATATTAATTGCTAATTGTCAAATATATTCACACTTACTATCATAAAGAAAATGATTTAAATTTTTTTTCAGCCTTCACATACTATGGAGTTACTCTGCACTTGAAGGCTGGAGGAAATATTTCTCTCTCATGAATTTGTATGCTTCCTTAGCAATGAGCAAGGCAGTGAACACGTAACCATTTTATTTCTTTCTTCTCCTTATCTGATAGGAAATTCACAGCAGTTTCGTACCCTGTTTGAGTAGCTTTTCTCATTTCTCAACTAATTTGAGATTTACAGAAGAGGTGCAAATATATTACAGAGAGTTCTCATATGTACAGCTTCCCTCAATGTTGACTTACCTGTGTAACTTAAAATTAGGGTAAGTGTAGAAGCATAGGACTGTTTTCACAGGCACAGTGTTAACACTGTTAGAGTCCTGTCAGCTGAAGTGCAGCCCTTGTCCTTTTCCTCCTCCAGGACCCAGTCCTGAAGTCACCCCACGGTGAGTTCAGTCGTGTCTCCTTAGTTTCTTGTAGGCTGTGACAGTTCCTCAGTCTCCCCTTGTCTTTCATGACCTTGACAGTTTTGATGTGTGCAGATCAGTTGTTTTGTAAAATGTCTCTCAATTTTGGTACGTCTGATGATTTTCTCTTAAGTAGCTTGAGATTACGCATTTTTGGCAAGCACGCCATCCCAATGATGTTGTCTCCTTGCTGAATCATTATCGGGGACACATAGTGTCGGTCCATATATCTTTTTACGGGTGATGTTAACATTCAGTCTCTCAGCTAACGTGGTATCTTTTGGCTTTTTCCACTGTAAAGTTACTGCTTTTCCCTTTGTGACTAATAAATATCCTGGGTGGAGGTACTTTGAGGTGGAGGTGTTTCTCCTCAATTTTTTTGCCCACTGAGTCAACTCATGTATTTTACCTGCAACATTCACTACTATGGTGCTTGCCAAATGGTAACTAGCACTTATGGTATTACATGAGTTTTTAAATTATTTTAAAGTTTATTTATTCTAGAGAGAAAGAGCGAGAGTGCACAAGCAGGGGGGAGGCATGTGGAGAGAATCCAGAGCAGGCTTGGTGCTGGCAGCACAGAGCCCGACACGGGGCTCCATCCTATGACTGGGAGATCATGACCTGAGCCGAAATCAAGACTTGGACTCTTAACGGACTGAGTTGCCTATGTGCCCCTATATGAGTTTTTTATAATACAGTATTATCGCTGTTTTATTGATCTAATTTTACACCTTTGGTTATTGGGAGTTCTTTCCAGTTGGATCCTGTGGCCTTTTCACATGCCCCTACTTCTTTTTGAGCACGTCCTTATTTTCTGACATCACAAGATATTCTAGGCTCACTTATACTTTCCCTGACCCAGGCCTGGAATTCGCCTCTCTCCAAGGGGCCCTGGCTCCTTTACTGGAGAGTGATATTTAGAAATCAAGATCTGGACACTAGATATGTTCATTGCTCGTCTTGTGCCATTGCTCTTAGGCCCTCCCAGTGGGCAGAGCTAGGAAATATATGTATACACTCCCATGCTTACACATAAATTTTTATTTCTATATCTGTCTTTATATGTATTATAAACTATGTGTTTGTACTGATATTCAGTAGCTTTTCTCAAATCTAGGTTCTTATCTAATAACTTCTTTCCTCATCCTCCTTTTTAATCAGCTTTTATCTTTTTTTATTTTCATGTGAATATGGATTTTGGTTTTCCTTTATGTCTGCTTTATAAGACTTATGAAATGCTTTTGGAATGTAGATGAAAAAGGCAATAATTAACATAGATAAAATTATACAATATAAAGTGTTGCGTTTTCTATTGCTTAGCTTGGGTCCTAGTGATATTGAGCTTTGACTACTTCTTTTTATAATAATAGGAGAACAATGCATCTGCAAGTTTCTTTGATGAAGATCATCGAAAACAGCTTATGGAACTTCAACACCATTGTGAGGTATCACATTTCTGTCTTTAAAATACAGTTTTCCAAAATTTTGAGTAAAAGGTTTTTAAACCTCATTTAATGTCATTGTGCTATTAGTATAAATTTTGTGTGCTGAAATCTGTAGGATTATCACTCCATTGTGATACATTTCAAGAAAAATGTTCTAGTTAGAAAAGTACCTCTGGGTGAAAAACTTGAAATCAGAATATGGCTTTTGTAGTTAAAAAAAACCCCAACAGCCCATAGCTGGTCAAATGTAGTTAAATGTCTTTCATCTAGATTGTTCAATATTTGATTTCTCCAATATACTCTCTTAAGGAAATGGCTGATTTCGATGAAATTTTGTGTGGGCCTCAACGCATTGTTGAGATACCTCAGTCGGAACACTGTTGAGATACCTCAGTCGGAAAAGTGTCAGCTCACCACGGCTTTTTAAAGAGTGTATCTTACTATACCTTACGTAGTTTTGGGTGGATTTTGTAAAAGGCTGTTGGTAGAGATTGATAGAAGTATGTAAATCAAGGATTTTGTGAGCTGCATCCTTTAGAGGTAATGAAAGGTTCTTTTTTAAAAATCAGTTCTTGACATACCAAGTCTCTTGGATTAAAACGAGCTCCCGGGCTCCCTTGCCAAAGAGAGGTTATGAGTCTTTATGGCTGTTGCTGAGAGCAGAAGGGAGCCGCCTGCAGGGGGACTGCCTGGAGGGGACGCCGCGGGTCTCCGGGAAGGAAGGCCGTGCAGGGGGCGGGGGGCGGGCGGGGGGC